ATGTGTTATAGTGTTTGTTATCCTGCAGGTATTACGTACGCACGTATAAATATATCAATTTATTTCATTTACAGTTTATATTTCAACCATCTTTTCTTCCTTTTCTATTTTCGCTTTTTTTAATAAAATAAAAAAAAAATTTTTTTATTTATCTTTCTTTTCATTCAACTAAAAATTAAGAAATCATGCCAGAACTTTATGATACTGTTATATCATTTAAACAACTTTCTAGCGATTTTCTTAAAATTTTAGATCAGGAAGAAACTTTTGATGTGATAATTCATGTTGGAGACGAGATCTCTAGTGAATCATTTAAAGCACACTCGATCATATTACGAACTAGGTCTGAGTACTTTAGAGCCGCATTATCTACTGCATGGAAAAAAAAAGGAAAATGGTTTCTTTATTATTGATTTACGAGGCATGAGTATACCACATGCTATATTCGGACATGTGCTTTTGTATGTTATTTTTTTTTTAATCAAGAATTGTCGGTTATTTTTTTTATTTTTTTTTTGAAATTAATTAATAAAGTTTTTTAAAAATTAATATAATTCATTATTTATTTATTTATTTATTTAAAGTTATATATATGGAGCATATTTGAAAATCGAAAAGCTTGGGGTAACGGAAAAATTACAATTGTTAAAAGCAGCTGATATATTAATGATGGATGCTTTTGTGGATTATTTAGAAGCTGATTTAATCAAGACAGTAAAATCATGGGTAAATGAGAAAACTAGTGAAGTATTATATGTAGCATTACAAATATCACGGTGTAAAGAATTAGTATCATTATGTAATGATGCAATTCTACGTCAACCAAAAACTTTCGTAAGCTCTAAAGAATTTTTATTCATGCCACACGATTATGTGGTCAGTCTGCTGGAACGAGACATATTAGGATTGGATGAAATAGACATTTTTGCTGCAATAATTATGTGGGGTATTAATAATACACCTGGCATTTCACTCGTTGACGATTTTTCAACTTGGACTGCTGATAATATAACCACTTTACAATCTAATGTAATACAACTTATTTCACAAATAAGATTTTTC